TCTCTATTTCTCCTGTAAAACCAGTGGTCATTGCAGTGGATGGAGGCCTGGAAGAGTCAAAAATATCTCCATTAAAAACATATAAACATACAAAAACATAACAAATCATCACAATAAGACTTTGTTGCATACACAAAATCACATAATATGCAATATAATATTCTTTACTTAAACAGAAACTTAAATATGTAAAAAATATATATATTTACACAAATTTACTTAAAATATTTAAACAAATTTAGGCTCCAAATTCTTTACTTGAGAGCTTTAATATTTAGAAAAAAAGAAAAAGAATGGACACATTAAAAATGTCTAATTCAGTGTTTAACAGAAGAAAGTCAGTCATACAGGTCTGAAAAAATAAGGTTGAGTAAATGATGACAGAATTGTATTTTTTTAGTGAATTATTCTTTTAATAAGCTGAACCCAGCCAGGTCATGCAACTATATAAAAATATTTCTAGAGAAGGAATAATCTATAAAACACAGATTTCAGAGGGATATTAATCCATAAAGTACTAATCTGGCCTTTCACTGGTTTTAGTGCCTCTAAAACTGACAGTGACATAAAACTATGACGCACTAGCCAGAGCTAACAGCACTTGTGGCGCAGTATGAGCACTCCCACACACACACAAACACCCGATAACACTTCTGTAGGCCTCACAAACCCACACTCACCGGGACACACCACCAAACACTTTGATTTATGAATGTGTATGACTATTTTTGACAACCATCCACAGTAAAGGAATGATACAACTCTCACTAGAGCATGATTCACACGTCTGTGACGACAAAAGTGAGTGTAAATACACACACACACCTCTTCTTGGGGGTTTATTTTTCACTCATTTCACACTGCATGTGTTGTTTTAATGGGAGATCGTGTGCCAACTCGCTTGCATAACAGGAAGCACACCTTTCAGTGTTTCTGGGTGCTGCGTGATATGACAAATATTACCACTCTAAATGTTAGGATAAATGTCAACTATTTCAACATACACGCAAACACATCTGCACAATCACTCCAATCTGAAACCGCACCAAACAGCTTCAAGCACATGCTTCAAACATCACCAGGAAGTGGTTGAACCAGACTTCCTGTGTTCATGCGGTCCTACACATTGGTTTTAGAAAAACACTGGCACAAGCACTCTGGCACAGCCATGCAAACAAATACAAAGGCATCACGGCAGCTGTGTCTGCTATTGTCGCACAAAGTTTCAAGGTCATTCTGAGCTGCTGGCTTACTCTGTGTGACATGAGTGACAATCCTGTTGAAAAGACCAGTGTAGACCAGTATGAATTTAAGGCTGGTTTGGTTAGCTGTTGAGCCTGCTCGACCAGCATAGTCTTTCTGTATCACTTGTTAAACTTAAATAAACCAGGTTGTGTCATGCTGGAGACCAAAACATCAAAAACATATGCTGGTATTTTCAGAAGGATGCAGATTTTGATTTGAATATGAAATTTAAACACTTCAAAATAAACAAAAAATTAAGGGACAACGTACGTTTTAAAGCAGGGATCACCCGACATTAGCTGCATACTGATTATCACCTAGAGAAAGAGAGAGAGGTGGTTACACACATATACAGTATGAGATAAAGCAGATTGTATATTTTATTAATACCCCTGAAAACATTAAATATATCAGATACTGGAGAATTGTATGATAAATTGCAATTTCACAAAAATGAGTGTTATTTTTAAGGGCCCAACAAATGGTGCCATTTCTCAGCAAACCCAATATTTAAAAAAAAAATATATATATATACTTATAATATTATGTTTAATTTTTTATTATTTTTTTTTAAATAGGGGGGAAAATCTTTTATATCACAGGCAGTGAAGTTTTTAAAAGAAAGATACGCAAGAAGATTATTTTTCTCTAAGTGAGCAGGTCTCATTCAGTATTAGTAATTTCTTGATCAATTGCTGTGAAATTGTATTGTTCTACTGTAAATATTTATGTTGTATTGTCTTTTGTGAGAACCGTATATTGAAGTCACTGAAACAAAAATTCCCCAAGGGGACGAATAAAGTTACTAACTAATTAACTATTGTTACTTCTGCTTTTCAACTCAATTACAACTTAAAATATAATTAAAAAATACAACATAATATACATTTCATTATTATTTATAATAATAATAATAATAATAATAATAATGTCATTAATAATGTTTTTCCATAAATAATTATTTACACTGAAATGATTTATTATTAATCGTAATAATATTCTTAACAACTTATAAATAATAATAATAATCACTTTACTTGTGAGAACCATTGTTGGGTGTTATTTTTTAAGGGCCCAATTATCAGCAAACCTAATATTACAGAATCAAATCGAAGAGTGTGAATATTGAAAAAAAAACAAAAAACATATGCTGTAAAATAACTGTAATGCGTCACATGGCTTGTTTCTACAATAAACTTATAAATATGACAACACATATGCGTCAAGCTGTTAATGGACGGCAGTGATGCAAGTTAAAATGGTCTGGTCAAGAGTGGTGCTCTCTACAGATATAAATGCCTGTGGAATTTTGGGTGCTCTGAACAGCTCCAGGTGGAAGTGGAAGGATACAGGGCTGTGGAATTCTGGGGGCGCTGTGAACAGCTCTAGGCGTAGGTGGGGGTTGTGGATTGGAAAACACAGCTCAACACAGGCCGGAGCATGCCACACATAACCCACATGAAGCGGAACATGAAGTAACACAACACCACACACAGATCTGAGAGGACACGCCCCCTCACCCACCCCCTAGCAACAGTGTGTTTATGATATAAATAAACTAAAAAATGAAATATAGAGGGCATGCAGTCTCAAGACAAAGGGGACAACTTTGCATCTTCATTATAAAGTTGTTCTGCTATATATGTGTGTGTACCTTCAGTATAGAGTTGTCCTGACGAGTGTTTTTGGTGTTGTATCCCTCCAATAAACAACGCCGTGTGGTGCTTCCTGAACCGGCAAACTCAGCCAAGTTTAAATTAGCAAAGCCAAGCTGTGACACACACACACACACACACACACACACACACACAGTATCAGTGCCAGTGATCTGATAGAAATAGATCTTCATAATCTACGAATAAACTGAGCTTACCTTTGCAAATGTCTTCCCACCTTTCAGCTCCTTCATAAAAAATAAATAAATAAATAGTCAAAAACCTCACCCAATCCAACAACTTTTGCACATAAACACACTCAAATGTTTCTGCTTAGAGTAGAATTTAAGAATTAAAATGTTACCTTTCTTACAGATACCCGAAAAACACATGGATCCAACACCCCTGTCCCTGCATTAGCACTCATCTTGCATAAAAAGGAGAATCTTTTTTTCCATTTAACACAATTCACCAGAACTGGCTCTCTGCAGAAGAAACCACAAGAAAGATAGTGTAGATAGACAATACAAACAGACAGACAGATAAAATGACAGAATGATTGACAGTAGTTAGACAGAAAGATACAATGACAGACAGACTGATAGATAGATTACAGATAGATAGATAGATAGATAGATAGATAGATCTTTTGAATTTGGAGTGAATTGTGAGCTAGACATTTCTTTGTGAGATCAACTATATAAACAGCTGTATATAATACATGCACAATTAATGCAATAAAAAGTTTAAATAAAAATACGTGAATTTTAAAAATATATAAAAGGTACTGGTGAAAAATACAGTGTATTTGTCAAGGGAGATTTGAATGAGAAGGCACATTACAGTAATGTCTACAGGGAGAGGATTAGTTGTTAACAGTGTACCGCACTCATTCAAAAGACTCTTCCCTGGTTCATCCTGAAAATACAGTAGGCTAACACTAATGCCAAGTAAACCTTCGTCTGTGGCGTTTATGAGGAGGAACGTCTGGCATCCCGACAGATATGGAATGTAACCGTTTTGTAAAATGCACTGTTGCCACAGCAAGTCCATCCTTGACGGTTAGAGGAAGGGAAGTGTTTGCTAATCAGACACTGCCCACTTTTGCCGAACTGTTGAGTTCACTGTAGAGCACAGCCCCTCTCATTCGCACCCTCAGGGACCCCCTGGCAAAAGACAAGTTCCTCCTCATAACGAAACGGTCTGCACTGTTTCGTAAAACGTCTCTAGTTTAACTGAATCAACACGTGAACATTAAAAGCCTCTGATCATCTCTAATTCATTCAAAATTAATCAGGCAAGCTAATGATAATAACTCACTTATTTCAAGATTAAAAAGGCTTGATGTTCCTAATCACTCATGACATACAATATATTCAGCCACAGAAACAAATTTATTATATAACATTATTTCATATTGACATCTGAGCATTAATTTTAAAAGTTGACACACACACACACACACACCTTTAATAAAATAATAAAATAAAATAATATACAGGATGTATTGCGTTTGTCTCACCTCGAGGACTCATCTGAAAAGCCTCCGTCTGTCAGTCGAACCTTACAAAACAGAACTCCATTCACGTATGGGACAGATGACAGCTCCTCCAGCTCCACATCTACTTTAAACTTAAACCTCTTCTTTTTCATCATGATGAATGCCATTGATCGAATATGTGAAGGACGACAAATGTGCTGTTATACTCCACGAATGGGATTTCAGGAGAAGAACCCAAACGCTTTGACGCGCCTCAGCGTTAAGTCGGCGTGCGTGCGTGCGTGCGTGCATGCGCGCGGGACCGTAGTTTTTAAAACGCTGCTGCTGTGTGAACGGAGTTGAACTGACAATAGACGACATTTTAAAATAAAAGTCCATCCAAATGATTTCCGATAGGATATTTCATGCTCCCAATAAGTCAGAATAAAAATATAACATTATTTGTGTGAATTAATTATATGCATTTACAGCAATGAATATACAGCAATTTATTTATTTACAATTTTAATGACTTTTATGGCTTATGGAGCTCGTACTCAAGCAGGAGAAAAAAATATGCTATTTGGCGCACCTGCCAAAAACCATAGTGACACTCTCAGTGAACGGGACGCAGCGGCGCTTTTCCCTTCTCGGTTTGGGAAGGAAGGAGGGACTCACTACAGCCGGTGCAGCATGTGAAAGTCCAACACAGGCGACACATTTTGCAGCCAGTCTCTGATCATTAAGCAATTCCACCGCACTTATTTCTCCTCTGAAATGCCGTCATGCCACGCGTGAATGTCAGCTGGATTATTACGGTGCTCGCGGTGGAGCTCGCGACACTGTCCGCCGCGCACGCTCACAGCTGTCACGAGGTGAAAACGGCGTTTCAGGTGCGTCAGATCGGCCAGCTGAAATGGGTGCCGGAAACACCTGCTACAGGTGAGCGTGAACGCTATGTGCAACCGTTTGTCATCTTGGTGAAGAGCGGTTTTGTTGTTTGACTGTGACCTAAACTGAAACGTGTCTTGCTTAATATTGATGCCCCTGCTTGATAACTACACCTGTTTGTATTGTAAAGTCATTGGTCCTCTTTGGATCTTTTTGTTTATTTGCTTGTACCATAGAGTTTTTGAAGCAACATTAGGTGCTGTAGTTAATTAGGTGTTTTGGCAGAAACTACTGTATGGTTACTATGGTAAATCTTTTTATTGTGGTGCAGCAATCAGCTGCTGTGGTTGCTCTATTATTTCATAGCATGTTTTAAGGAGGAAGTGTATTCTTTAATGGAATGGTTCACCCAAATATGAAAATTATCTGAAAATGTACTCGCCCTCTGGCCACCCAAAATGTAGATGAGTTTGTGTCTTCATCAGGTTTGGAGAAATTTAGCATGACATCACTTGCTCACCATTGGATCCTCTGCAGTGAATGGGTGCCGTCAGAATGAGAGTACAAACAGCTGATAAAAGCATCACAATAATCCACAACACGACTCCAGGCCATCAATTAAAGTCTTATGAAGTGAAAACCTTTGTTCGAAACAGATCCATCATTAAGAAGTTTTTACTTCAAAACATTGCTTTGGGCTAAAATATGAGTCCTCTATTTTATAATATTGCTTTCTATTGAGCACAAAAATAGTTTTTTAATCAAGTGCAATTAAACCACAAAGAAGAACCTTCAAGGTACCAATAGCTCAAAGGTTGTGTCTGAATCATTATTTTAGTTGCACTGCCCAGGGACTCGTCCATTTCTGGTGCTGTCAGGTTCATTCCAGTGTTACATTTGCATCCTAAAAATTCCCACAGTGCGCTGTTAAAAACCATCAGCTGCTCACTATATTTACTTACTGGAAATGTTGTAATGTCTCTGCACGTTTGGCACTGTACTTTTAACAACTGAAGTGAAGATGCATGATAAACAAATCATTGGTTGTATAGTATGCATATCAGGGCATGATTGAATATGATTCCTGATAGTACATTCATGTAGAGTCAAGTTGTCAAAATATATTATATAATCAATATAATCATCAGCCTACCCCTTATTACTGGAATTCAAGAGCAATTTTTTATTTTGTTGCTCCTGTCAGGAAAATTTAATGTAATTAGCTTCCGTTTAATAGGTTTTACAAGTTGATTGACTGATTTTGAAAAAAAAACATTTTTTTTGCCCAACAAAGTTTGCGTGAATGGCCATGTGTGCTGTAAGGCTCTGGACTCTGCACTGTAAATAATATGTCTTGGTAAACTTCAGACAAGGATCGTGTCGGGTTAAGGGAATCAGTGTTGACAGATGTGTTCAGCCAGCTGGTTTGATGCATGACTCGGCTAACAGGAGTGAGTCCTCCTGGAATGACACCGGCCCAGCTCACCGGGTACAAACCCGCAGGTCTAGAGTTCTCACAGTACTTGAACTCACACCCAGGTCTGGTTCTCCTATGACAGGGGTGCCTATCCTGCTCCTAGAGATCATCCTACCAGCATAGTTTAGTAATCAAATACTATACACACTTGAACCAGCTTGTCGAGGTCTTTGGGGTCACTTGAAAAGGTGGCTGCATCTCAAACACAAGCCAGCTACCTTGATATCTAGTCAGTCATTTTCTATCTATCTATCTATCTATCTATCTATCTATCTATCTATCTATCTATCTATCTATCTATCTATCTGTCTATCTGTCTGTCTGTCTGTCTGTCTTTCAATCGTTTTATCATTCTATCCATTGTTCTATCATTGTTTTATCTATTGTTTATAATTTTATCTATCATTTTACATATAATTTTATCTATCGCCTTGATTTTCTATCTGTGTTCTGTCATTTGTCCATTTCAAGACTTTTTAAACTTATTTTTCTTCAACTTTCAAATTACAAGAAGACTAGTCATGACAAACTTGGGGTTTTCCTTTAAAAAAAAATGTTATTTGATTTTCAGTTCATTTTAATTCAGCCAGATCACCTACTGTACTGGCAAAATTGAGTGGTGAAACTAAACTAACATCTATCAGACAAGGTGTGTGAAACCCATGTTCTTTGGCTGAGACAGAGAGATATTTCTAGTTGTGTTACAGGTTCCTCCTCTTGGAGTCTTGAAGAGCAATAGTGGGATGGCAAGTTTTTCATGATGGTGCTTATTTGGGTTAGCTAAAAGCTGAATGCTGAGTTGTTTTGTTGGTGAGCTATAACCCTCTTTTGGGTTGGTCTACATGTGCAGAAGAATTCAGAGCATGCAGGAGAGTTCTGATGAGCCTCGTCTCTCAATAGATACTCTGTGCCCTCTGGTACGACTTCTCCTGTTTATTTGACTGAACACTGATGTGTAGACTTAGCATAGAAATCGTTCCTCTGGGAACCAAGACCATACCACAGCAAAACCATAATTACAATATATCTCAGGTTAGTGTGGTTTTGCCTTCCTCCTAAGATCATTAAACTCTTTATTTCCTTTTTGTGGTCTGCAGAATAAAAGTTTAAAGAAGGCCAATGATAAAATAAGTTCTAAATTGCTTTTGTTGCAGAAAGACTGGAATTTTCATTTTACATTTCTCCGGTGAGCAAAGTCTAGCAGAGGATAGTTCACCCAAAAGTGCAAATTCTGTCATCATTTACTTACCTGTATGACTTTTCTTCTGTGGAACACAAAATTATATATTTTCAAGAATGCTGGGGTCCAAATAACATTGGGTCCCATTGACATTCATTGTATGGACAGAAAAAAACAGACATTTTTCAGAATATCTTCTGTTTTGTTCCATAGAAGAAAGTAAGTCAGACAAACAGCTTGAGGGTGACTAAATTGTGCAGTTATGCAGCATATCAGACTGTGCCAGGTTTGAGGAAAAATGCTCACACAGCTTGGGGATGAGTTCATTATCATCAAGCACTAAACTGATAACTGAGAGCTGTTCTTGTATCAGCAGTTAAGTGCAGGACACAGTCTGTTTATTTGCCACAATGACTTGGCGCAATTAAGGCTGAGACCGCAGACTAAACCAAAGTAGGCTTGTAATGTGTTTTCCCTTTTGCATTGATCTTAGAATAGTTTCATCAGGTGCATTTTGTTGTTGGAGTCCAGTCCTGTTTTCAGAACAGCAGTGAGCAGATTGTGTGCAATGAACATGCTTTAGCTGCAGGCATAGCACTCCACTCCTTTGGTGACAGCTGATGGGCATTGAGCAGCCAGAGGTTGGCTTGCAAGACAGCAGCCACAGACAACAAGAGGCTTTGAGCAAGAGTCTGGAATCTCAGACACGTTGGAATGTTTCCAAACACTATCACTGATGGGCAGAAACTCAAGACATCTTATAATAGTAACCGCTCAAACCGCTCCTTAAAAAATGTAATTCTATTTATCTATTGTTCTATCTATTTGTTTGCTGTTATGTTGTTTTATAATTTTCTATGGTTTTATCATCCTACTTATAGTTTCCATCCATCCCAGTTGTTTTAATGTCCTATTTATTGTTGGCTGTTGTAACATTTTTTGCATGTCCTATGTGAGCTTTTTGTTGCTCAGTGAGGAGGTCTTAATGTTGCAGAGGGTTCAAATCTGGGGTTGATCCCTTTCCTCAGAAGTGCTGACGGGATATGAGGGTATGAGACTGTCTGTTCTCAGATCAGATGCCAAGCAAAGCAGCTCCCAGAATCTCCACCTCTGCAGGATCTCTTTCAGAAAAGGCTGTGTTGATAACTAATCTCACGAGTCTTTGTGAGACTGAGCAGCATGGATATTTGAAATAGATTTTATAGGAGATTGTTTCAGTTTGTTATTTGCCTAATAAATGAAAATAACATTTTTAGTTTTAAACAAGTTTTTGACAGATTCCTAAAATATTTGTTTTCTCTTCATTATGACGGGTGGTCTAATAAATTTGTTCAGCACAAACAGTTCTTGTAAAACAGTAAATTTGAAAACTCATGGATACAGTAATTATATTTTAGCACTAGGAACACTGTGACAAAAGAGCTTACACATGGTGGATTAACCACTACAGAAACAGAAAAAAATAATTAGGTAAAAAAATGATTTAGGGCCACTGTGGTGTGTGTGTGTGTGTGTGTGTGTGTGTGTGTGTGGAGGAATGGTTAATTATGACTCGTTTAACGAAATGAAGCAAGCATAGCAATCAAATATTTAAGAGACTGTCCGAATCTTCTACCATTAAATCTTACTTGTACAGGCGTAATTAATCAATATTGGATTTCCAGCCATTCTGATGGGTTAAAAAGTCCTTTAGTTAATTAAGTTGCAGAGGCCTCTATCTGTGTCTGGCAGTCACGCTATCCATATGGAGGTTTGTGTGCTGAAGTGGTAAACAGGTTACTGTCAGTTACAGCACAAGGTGAAGATTGTTTTCCATGTGAAGACACACAACCACAGCTTTCTGTGAGCCGTCAGTTACAGCAGTCTGAATTGCTTCATGTCTCCTGCATTGTTTTATCATTAGTTGAATGGGTTATTTGCTGAGTAAGAACCACTGTCTTCAGCCTGGTCTCAATAGCTACACAATATTACAGCCTTGTCTATTTTTGGTTCCAGAAGTTACATTGCTTGTGTATCCAAGCTGAAGAACAATAGAGAAGATGAAAAACATGAAGGTATACTTAATACTTTTCTTTTTTTAGCTGAGGATTTTTTATTTAAATTTGGTTTAATAATTC